GGACCCGACTGGGTAGCGGGCAACATAATGGTGCCTGGGGGCCAGTTAGACTGTTTCTCGAAGTGTTCTGCCCATCGTTCCAGTCGTCTCCCCTGTGAGTGAATTGCAGGCCCATCCTTATCCCCTATAGGCCCACTTATCGTCGTTGACTTTTTCCCCCCAGTCTCCTTAATGAGTCTAAATAGCTGTCTGCTGTTACCAATCGCCGCCGCCTTTTCCATCTCTAGCCTTCGCTGCCCACCACTGTTCGCTATCGTTGTGTAGACTTTTTCTCAATCCACTTTTACGTTGTGCTCGCTCTTCATTGTGCTCCGAGCCTGCTGGGATTCGTTAACGTGCATCCATTAGTTCAGAAGAATCTGCTGATATTCACTGGCTTCTTTTAGCCACTCTTTCAGAGTCAGGTGCTTTTACAGCTGTCTGGAGATGGCACCAAGCTTCTTCTGGATGAGTGGTAGTCCTCTGTTTCGATAACTGCGTAGCCAACTTGTCACTGAACATGGCTTTAGTGTTTTCGTTGTCCAGCAGCACTCGTAGTAGTTTTTTCTTACATTCATTAAGACGCAGGCATATATGCACTCGGACCAACGCGTGGTCGCTATCCAAACACTTACTCCAGAAGGAGCAGCAGTCTTCCACCGATCCTCTCCAGGGATAACTAATAGCAATGTGGTCTATCTGTGTCCATCGCTGAGTTGAGCTCAGTAAACACCACGTCAGACTTTCCTTATGTCTGAAGTTTGTGCTAGCTAAAAATAGGCGATTATCTGAGCATAGTCGTAGTAGGCGATCACCGTCATCTGTACGTTCAGCCGGGACTTCGAAAGTGCCACCCAAGTGCCTTTCTGCCTCACTCAGTCTACCCACCTGTGCGTTGAGGTCACCTGCAACAACCACCACGTCCGAACGTTTGGCTTTCGAGAGGAGGCTAGACAGTTTACGGAAGAACTCATCCTTCACTCCACCCAAACTACAGTCAGTGGGTGCGTAAGCAGAGATTACAAAGAGACAACGGCGAGTCTCACTATTCCTTTTAGTTCACACTGTGCCATTCAGTCAGATAGCGCAGAGGCGACTATCAACTCTGATCCAGTCTAGTAGTGAGTTTTCTGCCCTAGTGTTTAATGCTATGTCTACACCTGCAAGACCGCGAGAGCTAGCCATCGAATCTCCAGAAACTCGAAGGGTGAATTTTGTGGATTCATGAGATTGGCCAGGAGAGGTCAGGTGAATAACCGCACTTCAGTCGTTTATGTGAGTTCCACAAACACAGCACACATGCATGCCGCGGATTGCTAGAGTCTTTGCCAACGAAGCCTGTTGACCAATTTGACGGAGGGTGCGGACATTAAAGGCTCCAATATGTAATTTAGAACGTAGTTCAAGGATGCCAAAAATGCTGTTTTGTGAACTCAGATCGTTGTCGAAAGCTGCAGAGCTAGGAGAAATTGAAGATGATGTAGTATCGTCAGTTCAGAGACGGAGAAAAATTAAAAGGTAGTAATGAGGGAGGTGGATAACAGTCTGAAGAAACTTGGGTGCTGACTGAGTTGTGAGGGCGGTTGACGCTTCCCGGCTGCCCACACTGTGGAAGGCTATTTCTTCTTAAGGTACCTAAAAGAGATTTGTGTGACCGCAGAGCCCATCGGACATCTCCTTGAGGTCTGTCATACACAGCCTTTTGAGTATGATTATTTTGAACTTTTGTATTTTTGGGGCCGGATGAGCGAAAGGAAACGACAAGTGAACCAACACCGCCGGCCCGGTAGACCGTGGAGCATGGTGGAGTGTGTTATTTTTGATGACTACTACCGATCTCAAAATGAACTTAGCACATTGGAAAGCACAGTCGGAGTTCATACAAGAACTCCAAAAGGACTCCTTTGCGGATCCATGCTATCAGTATTCGATTTCGGTATAATCTCAGTTCAAGCTTAACACAATATTAGGAGCTGTAGCTTTTGGTTTTTATTCAGTTAAAAGTCAAGCAGTGAGTCGTGCTTACGAACCCTGCTCCACCTAATGAGGTTTGGGTAGCCAGGTAGTTTCATTAGCCCTCACACAATAGAAGTGACTCACTGCATCCTCCATAAGCATGCACGTAGTTGCTGAATGGATTTCCTTTTTTTACTATAAAACACCCTACAGTTCTTGTGTAGCTGTAGTAACTACAAAATAGTTATAGTAAATTGAAGGGCTAGATACATTGTCCCTGTTGCTACGGATTTCGTTGGAAAAAAAATCAGATAGATTCATCTTAGGCTTCATCATAAAATCCATCATTTGCATGAGTTGATACTTTTTGGAAAGCAGACCGAAACTGTTGGCTATCCCGATCCATTGACTTAAAGTCTGATGCCTACGGCAGCGAGGCAAAGCCTCATTCTATTGATTATAGGTAAATACCATCATATCTGTGACTTCCAAGTTAACTGGTAAACATGCTATCATTTATTTGGTTTTAATTTGCCACTTAGTGGTCGAAAGTCGACCAATTGCTTCCTTAGACCACATATTTGAGGGATCTATGAATACTTCATCGACCTATTAAATGTGAAATCTGCTTCATATTTATGGTGCTAAAACAAAGTATAGGCTGCTTGGTCTTGATATACTTTAAGACTAGGTGATTAAGGAATACTGTAGGAAATCGCTGTTCGAAAACTGAGCGAATGCAACTCAGTGGCCATACTTAAACTTGTGATTAGTCATTGAATCAAAATCATCATGTAAGCACTGATAATACCAACTTGTTATTCAAACTTCAACCTCAATAGGTGTGATGCGGTTTGGTTCCACTACCTAAAACACTGAAGTCTAATTCCTGCATCACTAAGCTGCAGCTTCACTGGGAAACCTATTCTACCACGCATAATACTTGATTAGGTTCTGAGTACCAAGAAGCAGTAAGAAGTATTATATTATTCTTCGATTCAAAACTAAGCTAGCAACTACCTTATTCGATGAGTAATGAATATTTGTTAACTGCATAGCACGATAAACAAAAGAAGCGAGTGACATGTTAAAGCTGTTTTGCTGGATGTTTTACTTAAAACCTTTCTCTGCTGTAATATTTATCCATCATTTTGGCGTTTTTTTTAATCTTCACAATCCGCCCCCCCCTCCCCCCCTTTTGACTGTACGACAACAATACTTCTCAAATATGAATCGTCATTCAGGATTGCCTTTTTATTTATTCCACTGATTACATCGAATATAAGGCTTCTGTCAGAAAATAAGATAGTAACATGTACAAGTGATATGTATGCAGCATATTTGGGGCACTCACATGGGTGAAATTCTTAACCACAATTATTTTCTTCATCATAGTGAGTCACTTTTGCATGTATGCATAATTCCTTCCGAATTACGAAATATTTGAAAAAAAGATGTCTATAGGCGACATGTTGATAGGATTTGTCGAAATGTGATAAAGGAGGAAAATTTGATGAAATGGTAGCTAAAAGTACAAGACAAATGTTTCTAACTGGAGCTACTTGGACCGTGAATGGTGAACTTTGACAAGCGATTACATGAGCCTTCTTATATTATTCCTTTGTTTTCTCCTTGAAATGTAATGACAACTCTTCAAGTGGTTTAGAAATCATTCGGGAAATATGGTGCAACCACTTACTCATGTAGAAAATCCGAAAAACCACCTTGACCGAGGTTGGATGAGATCTTACTTTTTATTGCGAGGCTAGAAATAACCATTAGACTACTTTTAATCGATGATTGGGTTGAGTAAAATAGGATTAATTCAATTGGTTGATTTTAAATCATTTATTGACTGATTATTCAGTGTTTAGATATCAGATGTACTTCATTTTGACTAAAAATTCGATGCACCACACAAATATAGAGTTGCGAAGAAAAAAGAAGGAATCAAGAAGTGGTCAGAGAAGAATACGCAATCGTAGCAGATGCATTGAAATAAACTTTTATTGCCTTTGTACTATGTAAAGTTGGACGACAAGAGAACTAATAACATGATCGCTACTGACTTCAGAAACCTAGCTTTACCTCCTAGAGCCTATCCAAAGAGACGTGATACACAAACAAATGAGAATACAGTCTGACTATCGCATACACCGTACAAATGAACATCATTTTTATTTGACTAGCGGACACCGTTGAGGCAACAGTAGATCGTTTCCAACTGATGAGTTTTCTCATGATGATTAAATTCATAGTACTCTAACATAAGTTTCTGGACGTACAGTTCTCCAACACTGTGTCTAATGTAAGCGGTCTAACGTAAATGGTTTCAGGTATCTCCGTTTGGGGGCCGGTATTGGCGAACTAACAGACAAATGTCATGACTCTGCTGAATGTGGTTTGGATTAAGGCACATTATTCTGTTTTTTGGTATACATCGATTTGTATGAACTCAGTCTTCATATTCCTAAAGTATTTCGCTTCCTAACTTGTAACAAAACTAGTCTTCTAGAACATTTTCTACACTTTCATGTTTTTTTCGATTGGTTTTTTATCTTATATTTAAAGTATTAGATTAATGTGTTTGGTGGAGAGTATGATCCTTTACTGATAACAATTCCTGATCAGACTTATAACTTTGATAAAGCTAGTAGCACTAAATAGCAAAACGTCAGCCGAAACAAATTTATTTTGTTTTATGTTTATTAGGAAATACAAACACCGAAATAATGAGTATCATTTATCCAATGCCCACTTTTTCCAAACCATGAAATCCTTATCAGATTTGTTTGCATTTCATTCTGAAATGATAGGGACTTGGTGAGTAAACTTTGTTAATTAATTACGTCCGAAAATGATGATTCTTTTTTTTACACTGGCAGCTTATATCTTTCAGTTCTTACAGATTTAGTGTGTCTTCTCTTGCGAAGTTATTCTATTCCCAGTTTTCGCTTTAATGTGTTTCCTCTCTTATATCTTTTTGCAACTTAACCTGCTTATACTTTGGTTTGACTGACTACTGATCGTTTCTATTTTAAAATTTGCATTGCACCCTATTAAAGGCTCAGGCAGAATTAAAAGAAAAATTCCGACTTCTGGAATCTAATCCTGAGATTCTGGCACTATACAAAGAGCTCGTAGTCAGTGGTATCCTTAGCTCTGAAGAGTTTTGGGCACGACCTGAATTTTCACACAGTAGTTTCAACTCATCACAATGTTCGAATGCTTCCAATGCTAATTCCAAAGTCTCGACAACTACTGCAAAATCACAATCAGTCAGTAATAGTACAGTTTATGTACCAACGAGTAACCCTCCAAGTGGTCCTACCAGTCAAATTTCACGCAGTTTCCATTTGGATGACCTACCTCAAGTTGTTGGGGTTCCCAGTTGTCTACTCAGTGATATCAAACCTGAGGCAGATGGTGCTAATGGAATAAAATACAATCTTACTCATGATACGATAGACGCTATCTTTCGAGCTTATCCTACTGTAAAAGAGAAACACAGACAGATGGTGCCGGATAAGTTATCCGAGGCTGATTTTTGGATAAAATTCTTTCAATCCCATTATTTCCACCGGTAAGTACTCTTAATAATTTTTGTCACCTTTCCTGTTCTAAAAGTACTAGTTCATTGCTTACAGAAATGAGTATATTTTGTACCTAATAGGATTAACCCTATTCCTGTTAGTAGTGGTAGTAACCCGTGAAAAAACTCGAGACTTCGATATCATCGTTAACTCCATTTGATTCGATCTCAGTCAGCTTACATTCATAACGTTTATGCAGACAGTGACATCAGCTCCCATTTCTGTAGTTGGGAACCATGTGATCCAAAGTGCTTTCTGATATTTTTCTATTAGTTATTTCCGAATCTTAAATTCCTCTTCTTAATCCGATTCACCACGATAGTCTGTGAGAAAAAAACCAAACATGATTACGAAATAGTCGTAGTTGCTCATTTTTTAGAAGTTATGGGCGAATACGGTGAAATACCTGATGTCAGTTATGCACCATCCATAAGGAACGTAGTTTCACTGAGTAACAGTTAAAGCTGTCATACTTTATGGCAGTACATCAGCGTGGAATGCACCGACATGAATAGTATGGAAATAGGGAGAAATAAATAAATTTTAGGAAGTTGGGAAAAAACTAAAAATAACGAAACTGTAGTAAAATTTGGTATTCTCACTTATGTGACGGTAATCTGTTAATGCGTACGCGTCAGTGATATGGATTATACGACACATCACCTACAGTCTCAAGCCACACAGACCCCAACCAGGGAGTCAACCTATACCTACATGACTCAAACCAATAGTCAATGACTTCATGGACTGAAATCCTACTTCAATCTGGTCACCTCTACCTTTTTATCAACTTAAGCCTAATGCAGCTAACGTTGCGTTAAGCAGTAGACGGTGACGAGGCACATATAAAATGTCCAGTCATTTGTACCGATGAAGGTTCACAATACATTCAACTAATTTTCATCTTTAGTCTAAACCTACGTCTGACTTCTGCATTACTGAAGTAATGACACCATGACACTACCACACTAATCTGTTGAGATTAAGTGAATAACCACTCATGTGCACTGTATTTGTCACGCTAACCTGATGTTCGTCTATGGCCCAAGATACTAAAGTTTTGGCTGATGAAGCTGTAAAGGAAAGTGAGTTGATGACAGTAACCTAACACATGGGTGCATAGTGGCAGATCTTTGGAGGCATTCATCTGTATGAGTTGTGGCTCATTGGTTTAGGGAGATGACTTCCAACCAATGGGTCATGGATTCAAGCCTTGCTCCACTTACTGAGGTTTGGGCTGCCAGGTAATATCCTTAGTCCTCATTCATCAGGTGTGGCTCATTGCCTACTGCTCTGACCGGTACCTGCTACCTTGACATCGTAGTCGCTCTAGCATATCACAATGGCTGCGAACTACACTGACTGAAACGCTTGTCCCCTACGGTTCCTACCTACCAAAAATGTTTCTTGGATAGTGGTAGAACGAAAAGAGGCTTTCCTTATAGTGTAATTTTCTACGCTATGATGGGGATCTGATTGCGAGGTAGTATTGGTGTTGTTTGTATGGGATATAAGAGCAGTGAAGAGGAGTCCCACGCTGATCTGCCTTCTCCATGCGAAGGGAGGGGTTGGAAAAGGGTGGCTGTGCTCTGAAGCTTCTTTAGCGATTGGATTGTTTTTAGGGGGTAGGGTTGCTAGCCCTATGCTCAACCTTCCCTCTTTAACCGGGCTTAGGACCGGCTAGTAACTAGTTAACCAGGCAAGTTTTTTTTTCAGTGATGGAGGTAGGAAATCGCTGATTAGAGTAACGGAAGTACTAGGTAGTGTATGAAAATGAGAGGTAGTACCTTCAGACTTATGTGCTTCACTGTTCATCTCAGTCTATAAAAAAGGAGAGGTCTTCTTGTGATAACCGTGAGGGAATTAGTTTGACTAATATTATGTGTAAGATCCCAGAGTTCACAGTTATCAGACACTTAAGTGGAGCTTGAGAAGAGCAAACTCGAGAAAAGCATGCAAATCTCGACTGGATTCCAGTGAACAGTCTTCTATGTGCTGTTCGACTGAATGGATCCGTAAGGACTAGGTAGGATCATCATACGAGCCGATGCCTATTTGTAATCTTGACCGACGCACCCACCGACTATAGTTCAGAGGATGCAGAGGATGAATTCTATGAGTTGTCAACTTTGCTACAGAAAGCAAAACGTTGAGATGTAGTCACAATGACAGGCAACTTTAGCGCTCAAGTAAGGAAGCTGAATTGAGCTGAACAAATCAGAAAAGCATCTCGAGGATATTAACAGAGTCATATGTCAAAGAAACGACAACGGCGATCGTCTTGAAATTTTGTTACGACAGTCACTTGTTTCTGGCCAGGACTGACTTTAATAATAAAGAGAGATACTGTCTCCTTTGGTGTCCCCCAACATCAAACCAACGATGAACACAGATAAATTATTTTGCGATAAGCTATCGTTGGACAGTATCGTTACAGGATTGCAGCTCCTTCTGGAGTAGTCGTTTGAACTTCAGTCATGCGTTGGTACTTATTTGTGTATGTCTACATCTTACTGATAGCAGGAAGCAGTCGACACTAAAGCCTGTCTATAGTCGATTGGAAGATGAGGACACCAAATGCGTATTTCGGGAGAAGTAAGCTAAGCATTTATCTGAATATAAGAGTGATGCTCATTCTGAGTAAACCTGGCGTGATATTAAGTCTGCTGTGAAGACAGTTGTGTGACGTACACCCGAAGGTAAGCAAACATCATTGGATTACCACGACATCATCCAAATTGGTTGAATCGAGAAGACTGCTTTTAGTGGCCCTTCACCACGACGAAGAGAGAAAGCAACTTTAATTTAAGTTGACCAAGAGTCTTCTCAAATATCAGGAGCAGTGGTGGGTGTTGGTAACATGAGAGATGGAGAAGACATCAGCAGTGGGTCGCATCCAGCAACTACTTAGGGGTATTAAAGATCCAAGTGAGAAGTTGATAGTTAGGGGAAGCCATCACGGAAATTAGTGGTACTGCGATCACCTCCCAGAGCAGGTGGCAAGAACATTGGGCAGAAGGCTTTGAAGCACACTTGGGAGATTTGTTGACCTGAAGGCGACATTTAACTCTGCTGACCATGAGGTGTTGTGGCTGTGCCTGACAAGGGAATACAGCGCAGGTATATAATACTCGAATTCACGCAGCCGTGTGAAGTCTTGTGGAGAGTTGCCAATCGGAATCGATGACAACTAGTGGTGTCCGTGAGGGATATCTACTGTCGCCGTTCCCATTTTCATCGTGATAGACGTACCAGTAGACATAACCGTAGGTACGTCTGACCACAGGGATGACTTGTTTACTATAAGTCATCCGATTGACTTGGAGTAAGCAGACGATATCGTCCTACTACGTGAAGATGCTGACAACATACAGAGTTTTGTGAACACGTTGAGAAGAAATCTGAGTATATTTGGCATGCGTCTCGTTGGTACCTATCAAATTGTAAGATGATGCTCGAAGACTGATCAGCAACTACTCCCAGTTTATTGATAGAGAGTGAAGTGATGGAATGTGTCGACCATTCCACTTACTTGGTGTGTTGCGATAGCCCTAATGAAGTGGTTGCTAACTGAATCGGAGCTCGAATTCAGAAGACCCGTTTGGTATTAGCAACCTTGCGTCTTCTGTGGCGCCGACTGGTGAGATATCGGACTTTCTATGAAAGTACGAGCATACTGCGCTGCAGTCCATTGTGTCGTGTTATACGGCCATAAGATACGGGCGTTGGAGGTAGAATACGCGAAGCGACTATTGGGTTTTGGTCATATGTGTCTTCGTAGTATCACTCGCCTTTGGTGGAATCATCGTGTGAGCCATGTTGAGGTCAGATGAAGGGTACTAGGCAAGACAAGCTAGTCGATTGATGAGGTTGTGAATCTTCGCAGGTTGTGATGGCTTTGATGTGTACTGCGCATGCAGAGCCACTGCCTACCTCGATATGCCATGCTGCGTGGAAGTTGGATTAGGATGGAGGCAGGTTATGGGAAGCGAGATCACGACGTGGTACCGTATGTATTCCCCTTTTTGATGTCTGCCAATGGTTGTCTTCAAATCGTTTCTTCTCGCATACACCTAATATCTTCCCTCTGTCATAGAAGCCTGGAGTCAATTATCATGTTGCAACCAGTTACCGATAGCGTACATGTATTCATGGCAAACACTGCTTCTTGAGCAGTTGTCTCGAATCCGGTTAAGCTTTATTATGTGCTCAGTTCATCTTCCACTTAGTTGGTCATGAACATCGTGGTCTAAGCGGGTCGTCGCAAGAAAACTAGCTGCACATAGTACGACGACGAAATCAGGATATATTCTAGGTTATCTGTCAAACCTGCACAAAATAAAGATGACCACTAATTGCTCCTCCAAGTACGTTAACGTTTCCACTTACTTGGGAAGGCAGGTAAACCACGGTGAGCCATCGATCAACGAAATCTCTGCATGGATACAAACCCATCACTTAGCTTTTACCAACTTATGCCATTTACGGCGCCGGTAAGATTTCCAATTACCTGTTTAAAGTCAAGTTTACTGAGCTGCAGCTTGTTGTCTTCAACTAGATAGTTGTAAGATATAGCTGTTTGATGTGGTGTTGTAAGCCTTCATCGGTACAAATGACTGGACATTTTATATGTGCCTCGTCACCGTCTACTGCTTAACGCAACGTTAGCTGCATTAGGCTTAAGTTGATAAAAAGGTAGAGGTGACCAGATTGAAGTAGGATTTCAGTCCATGAAGTCATTGACTATTGGTTTGAGTCATGTAGGTATAGGTTGACTCCCCTGGTTGGGGTCTGTGTGGCTTGAGACTGTGGGTCATATGTTGTATAATCTATACCACTGACACGTATTCATCCATCCACTTTGTTTGTCTTGTTTTACCGTCTGTCTTCGCTTGCTTTGTCTCCTCTTGTTTCTGTCCTATGGCTCACTTTAGATTTTGAAACTCTTAGTGTTTTACTCTGAAAGTTTCTTGTGTCGAAATAGTTAGTAATGAAAAGTAAGGAATATTATAACACATTTTGGATTTGAACGCAGTTACGATGTTAATGCACCTAATTCAGTGTTATTTGCCAAATGGCCTACATTCCTTTACCGCTAGCTTGAGTTGTTTCGTTAACCTTTTGGGAACTGTTTCTCATTGGTTCGACCAGTTAGCTTTCACCCAAGTAGGCCACGAGTTCGAACACCGCCCTACCTACTGAGGTTTGTGCGAACAGAAAGTATCGGTAGCCCTCACTGATCAGGTGCGGCTCATCGCTTACTGGAGGAACTTGTACAGCGGTTTCGATTGTTTTTCGATTGCTAACTCTTTGCGTAGTTGAAAACAAGAAACGAAACCCCTCATTCATTGTTTCCATATTTTGATCGATCCATTCCAAAATTTTTCCAATCCGATCCTATCATAGCCAAAACAGCACGCTATATATGTTTTATATTATAGTTTTCTGTTAACTCCGCCTGATGAAAATTTATTACTTTGTCAACTAACTTGCTTTCGTTATGCAATCATGTGCACTTGATTGTCACACACACGTTGTGTGGCACTTATTCTTGTAAGACTGTATGTGAAAAACGTTTCACCTTACTGTTAACCTTCGGTAACTACAAGGTTTGTTTAGTGGTATGTATCACTAATCTTAGGTTGTTGTCTCAATGTTATGAAAATCCTATTGTTTATGGCTGCCTGTATTAATTTCTCGATTTTATTTGTCTGAAAACGTAACATTAGAATTTTGTTTAACAAGCTTATATCTATTACCCATGAGTTTCATTGTTCATTGTTTGATATCTCCTGAGGCATTGATAATTTCGATGTGATTTAGTTGAATCTCCCAAAATCGAAATTAATAATAAGTAACATGGACATTTTCCACTTTGCTCCCTTATCGTCGCATTTCTTAAGTTAATATCATATTTGTAAATTCTTGACAAATAATTCCGTTTACATAGTGATCGTGTCCACCTTCCAAAGGATGATATATTTGCTGATTGTGCTAGTATTGATGATCGACTTTTACTCAATGATATACGGAAATCAAGAGTCAATCAGAGCAATGTACATCTTGATCTGCTTAATCTCACTGACTACGATATAGGACAAGGTTATGGGATTGAAAAAACATCTAATCAAATAAAACAAAAAGTGACTGATTCGTCAGCTTCAAATCAAAACGCAGGAAATGCAGCAAATGAATCAAAACCATGTAATTTATCTGCCAATCAACTTTTACTGCGTCGTTTCAATAACCATTCAATACTTGTTCTGAAATCTCTTAGTTCAAATGATGTATCATTATCATCTAATAATGCATCTCAAAGCTCAAAGATATTCTGAATTCTTGTCCATTAAAAGATCGTGTATATGTTAAGGAGTTAGTCGAAGATCGAAATCCTCCAGAGATCCAGTTGGACTTGGCTTGTGTAAATGACTATTTAGAGGGTCCAACACCAAGTATAGCAGAGAAAGCTACAAGATTAGTGGATCCACTAACTTCCACTCGACAAAAAGATACTTCTTTTAGTGAAGCGCAACTGGAACAGGCACTCAACAGATGTAAAAGTTCAATGTTAGCAGCTTATCAAACAAGGAAGAAACCAGGTTCATCACTTTTGACTGCTCTTGAATCCCAACAAGCCTTAGCAGATGTTTCACCTGGTGGCTGTTTAATAGGTGGAAAACTTAATGAGAATCGTTCCACAGAAAATGACTTAACCAGTGATCAATCTTCTTTACGTTTGTTTGGATCTAGGAGAAATAATCATATTTCAACCTCCAAAGGAACCTCTGGTGAACATACTGGTGACAATGTTGATCATGGTCCACCGCTGCTAACTGTGGAACAGACTCGAGAGTTATCACTTTTGTATTCTAGCGCTGCTGAGCTATTGCGACACTTTTGGGCTTGCTTTCCTGTTACAACTCCACAGCTAGCTGATAAATTAGATCGTGTAGCTACTAGTCTTGTGCGTTTCCGCACTACCAAGGTGGTCCATTTTGCTGCCAGTGTTGATCCATCCCTCAGATCTAAGTCAGATAACCATCCTATTACTTCATCGGAAGATTTCTCTAACAGAAGAGATTATAACTCAGTTTCTTACCGTTCAAGTGTCACGAGTCACTTGGAATCGATGTTAGACGCTGCTCAAAAGAAATACTCTGAGTGGAAAACCCGACGTCCACAATAATATAAATACTTATGTTAATAAAACTTAAAAATCCTCTTGAAGATTTTGCTTTTAACGCGATAACCATCTTTTTTCGACAGCGTGATAAAATGTACATATTTTCGCATTTATATACTGTAATAATTTTCAACAGAATTTTTTGTGAACGTTTTATGAAGCTCCTCCTACTCTATGTATATACAGTTATGTATACCTTACTCATGTGACTTCAGACTTCAGCTTACTGTTATTTGGTTGGTTGGTTGGTGATAAGTGAACTAGCAGAATTTGGTGTACTATAAAGCTTCTCCAATATGTGCTAATTTCGTAATATTTCCTGTTAAGTATGTAGAATAGAATTTCTTGATGTATACAGTCAAACGGTAAATAACGACTTGTTTACATCATCAAGAAAAACCTAGGAATCTGTCGGAAAATTAACAACCACGTTGTCTCACTGCCTTTGATTTTTCTGCGTCTCTTGAGTCGCCCGTAAATGATTACAGAGTGCCAAAAGCCTGTGACAAGATGAATAGAGTATGTTCTTCGGGAAGTCACATGTAGGAACTAAGGTAGAATTCTTTTTATTCTATTCTTTTAGGTGGTTGAGATTTCACTGTCGAGCAGAGTCTTAAGTATTTATACGAACTACACATTGGGTGAATTCACAAAACAGTAGCTATCGCACTGTACAATATCAGAAAATCATTATTATTAACTTGCTACACCACGAGCATCAACGCATGCCATTATTATAAGTATTCAGTCGTGACGTTCTTAATAATGGCCGTAGATCTACTCGGTCTTAGGCTTCCATGCACCGATGGGGGTTAGTAATTCTTTGGGTAGACAACGGGTATGTCAGTTATTATCCATGTTGAGACGTGGCGCTACTGCATAATTGTCGTAGTTCCGTATTTCCTATCAGTGCATGAAAGGAGTAAAAACCGAAGAAAGTGGACAAAAGGCATGGCAAGATAACACAAGAAAAGAAACGGTGATAGAAAATCCTTAAATATGAGGATAATCCGTTAACGTGTGCTTGTCAGTTTTAATGGATTATGCGACATACCATTAACCACCGGTTTTTTTTGTCACATGAACTCTGACTAGACAGAAACAAGAGGAGACAAAGCAAGCGAAGACAGACGGTAAAACAAGACAAACAAAGTGGATGGATGAATACGTGTCAGTGGTATAGATTATACAACATATGACCCACAGTCTCAAGCCACACAGACCCCAACCAGGGAGTCAACCTATACCTACATGACTCAAACCAATAGTCAATGACTTCATGGACTGAAATCCTACTTCAATCTGGTCACCTCTACCTTTTTATCAACTTAAGCCTAATGCAGCTAACGTTGCGTTAAGCAGTAGACGGTGACGAGGCACATATAAAATGTCCAGTCATTTGTACCGATGAAGGCTTACAACACCACATCAAACAGCTATATCTTACAACTATCTAGTTGAAGACAACAAGCTGCAGCTCAGTAAACTTGACTTTAAACAGGTAATTGGAAATCTTACCGGCGCCGTAAATGGCATAAGTTGGTAAAAGCTAAGTGATGGGTTTGTATCCATGCAGAGATTTCGTTGATCGATGGCTCATCGTGGTTTACCTGACTTCCCAGTTAGGTGGGGTGATAAACGCGTTCATTCAGTTTATTTCTTACTTTTAGGTGGTGTGATGCTGGTGAACCTCAAAACAGAAATTTGCCATCGACTGGTGGGAAGCTCATTTTGAATGTTATAAAATTTCCATCTGCAGTTTTTTGACGACTGCGTCTTCTCACTATTTTCAACTAGCCGGAGTTTATCTTCTCCCGTGGCAAAATCGATTGCGGTACTCCCAGACGATGAGAGTTAGACGTCTGTAAATACGTCTAAAGTAGAAGTAAATAAGAATGCAGAGGTGGGACATCCCTTACAAACATAAGTTTATACGCACAACTCACTATAGACTCTGACATGCTTACAGCTCCTTCAACAGAGCAGTGTAGTAACTCGGCAACTGTTTCAGTGAGGAACGCTGACGTTAAACCTCTCGATCGACGAAAGAGAATGCCGTATTCATATCGAGAAACAGCTAGTGTCTTGTGCTAGTAATTGTTCCCATATTCCAAACCCTAGCAAAGGATAAGTGTCTGGTGGTTGTAGAAACTGCCTGATTTTCTCGGGTTAGCTGTTTTCCAGCTTCACTTAGACACCTACTAATTTTAAAAGCTAGAACCTTAGACGGGGTTTCTTTATGGGCAGGGATGATCAGTGATTAGGAACAGTCAGGAGACATCATATCTGATTCCCATACGACAGCTGAACAATAATCCTTGGCCACTTCTATGCGAGTGACATTTTCCTGTTCTGATAAATATGTAACAAGTTCCTCGTTGGAAGCAGCTTTATGATTGTGCAGCGTTGGGATTGGTATTTTTGCTGTAGCTATTATGTGTCCATTTAGGCGCACACATACACGTGCTCAAACCACCGTGTCGATGTTATTCAACACCCCATCGATAACTGTCGGCAGTATGGTCTATCTGTGCCCACCGTTGAATTTAGGTCGGTGAACAATATCACCTTTTGTCTGAAGTTTACGATGGCCAGAAATACATGGTTGTCTGAGCGCAATTATGGAGGTAATCGCCGTTATTTATTTGGTCAGCCGGGATACTGAATGTGCTGCCCAAATGCCTTCGGCCTGACTAGGCCCACCCATTTGTGCTTTGAAACTACCTGCTGCGACAGCCATATTTGAGCGTCTCACTTTCAGTTGAAGGCTAGTCATTTTTCAGTAAAACCCACCTTTCATTTCGTCGAAACTGCAGTAAATTATTGTGTAACCATTAGCGAGCTCCACTCCTTATTTCCATCGTCACTGCACGTTTTAATTTAACAGGTTACAGGTGACTGACAACTGGGATCCATTTGAGCGGTGGGCTTTCTGTCTTGGTGCTTAATGCAATACCTTCGGATGCAAAAGAACTAGACGTCGGATTCCCAGAAACACAAAAGCAGGGTTTTACAGATTCATCGTATTACTGACTGGTAGAGATTAAGTAAATAACCACAAACAGCACATTTCCACGTTCTCTGAGATGTCAGAGTTTCGGCTAGCAAAGCTTGTTTTCTGACTCAATAGATAGTGGGGACATTGAAAGCTTCATCATTTAGTTTGAAGTGTGGTTTCAGTAGGTCATGGATGCCGTTTCATGACTTTGAATCGCTATCGATAAGTACTGAGGTGGAAGAAAATAAATACTACGTAGGAATATTGATGGAGATACGTAAAGAAACATCAAAAGCCAGAGATATTGAAGTTTGATGGTGATCTGAGTGGTGGCACGTTTCCATGGGTTGTTGACACACCGTCTGTCCATAACAAGAAACGTTACTTCTTGAGATACCTGAAAAAGATTAAATTAGTACCAGTGAGGAGAAATTTAGGACAATGTGTATGCACATACATGACCACGTCAAGGAGATGGAAAATTTTCTCAATGACTACATGAAATTGCGAAGATGTAACAAGAAGAAGAATGTTAATAAACTAAGGCACTAAAATATTGAAGTTAGAACACTCTCATCTGGCCTGTGTATTCGTTATACGCTTGAGAGCGTGTGCATTCTGGACTTTACATTTTACTAAATGTTCAGGAGCCTAGATTACCATTAGACCTCATTCAGAATATGTGGAACTTTCAGTATCATTCAGCTGATGAAAAGTAGTTAGTGTCATATTTGGATCCTTATGTGGTTTTAGTCTTTCAGTTGAGACTTGAAACGTTTTCACTTATTGATACCACTGATATTTCTGAATATTATGATTGATGTGTCGATAATATGCTCACTATGTGCCAAGGTAATCAACCGAACATCGGTAGATTATGTTTACTAACGTCCTCCCAGACATGTTATTCCTAGATGGCGTTCTCACAATAAAAGAGAATGGATATATGAAAACCAACATCTACAGAGAACGCTTTATTTATTTCTGTCGCTTCACATTACTCTAGCATGAGAACAACGCAGTTTGATGCTTCAACCGTGAAATAAGGTTTATCTATCCCAACATATGATTGGTGGGAAAATGGCAAGGCTGAAAAAAATATTTGAACAACTTTGTTAGCTCAGTCACTTCATCGGAAAGTACATATTTGAGCAACGAGGGCTAATGTTACTGGAAGAATACCACTAATATTGAATTTTAAAGGTGTCACATCTCGAGATATCCTAGCGCATTAATTGGGCAGCAAATAGTAGAAAGAATTTCAGTGCACCTAAATTTCACGTTAACCTCAACCAGACTAATACTAACGCAGAGAATCAAGAAAAGTTGTAAATCATCACCTCGCTGGTGCGTTTGGATTGCTTAATCTGTTTCCGTGACATTTTTCACTTAGAGAGGTTTATGCTTGAGTGGCTATCGCAAGTTAGCATGGTTGATAAATCGAGTGACTAAATCTATAAATGTGGCGTTATTTTATTCTATATAATAGATAGTGCAGACCGAATAAATTTAGTTGCACCCTTTTTGTTAAATTTGTCACAAATATAGGTGACCGCATATCCGGTGTACAGCACCAGCTCTAGATATCGATGCAAATAAGCCTGACCTACATATTCGGAAGGAATATGCTTGTTTACTCAGGGTGATAACGGGTCCAGCGCAGTATTAGTGATATTCGATATAGTGAGTTCAGATTTTCAAACCCCCTAATCTTTTCTTTTATTCTTCCTCTTTGTTTTGTGCAGCATTTATATCTTGTGTTACTATTTTTATTACCTTGACTATTTATGCTGTTCTCTTTGAATATTCTTTAGGCTTACCTGGGGCACAAAGTTCGTTATTTTCCTACTGTATACGACAGGCCTTCACTCCACTCTCCATAACCCATTACTTCACAATAATAGTGTACGGATGAAAATAAATCACCCAAGTCAATAGCCTACAGTCCAATGAAATTTGACATTAGTCCTGACCTTTATAGTTTCACCAGATTTGTTCAGCTGAA